TGAATTCCAGCTGATCTGAGCTGAGTTTTTTTTTTACTTGAATTAAATCTAAATTAAAATTTCAATTTTTACTTTAAATTCATTTTCCTTCCGCATTTAATTATCTAAAAACCCGAGGATCGATTTGGCAGCTTTGAAGTTGGTGGTGCTTCCATTTGGAATATGGAGGTGGCCTCTGGAACAAAGATTTTCGGGATTTAATTTGATTTAATTTGCTTTGGCAGGAAACGGCTCGAGAGGGTTTTTATCAGCACGAGACACCTTTTAAATATCTAATTAAAATTAAAAAAAACCCAAACAAACACAAAAAAAGCCATAATTCCTCCTAAATCTCGTCACGTGTCGGCATTTTTTACTTCTTTGTTTAAGGATAAACTTAATCAAAAGCTGTTTGTGAATGGGGAAGGGTTAAGCCTTTAAAAATTGGGATTTATGGGGATTTTTGGGAAAAAACGGCGCCGCCTTAATTAGTTTGGAATTAATTACTGGGGGAATTAGCTCAGGGAGGAATTAACAGGGAAATTTGTGGGTTTTTAAAGAGGATTTCCAGATGGGTTTGTGCTCCGACGTCACAGGGGCTACTGAATTTATCCATGATTTAAATTTATTAATTTATCCAATCGATAAATCCAAGGAGTGTCCAAGGTTGAATTTATCCAATTGATAAATTGGATTTATTCAATTGATAAATCCAAGGTTGGATTTGTCCCTGGGAGTGTCCAAGGTGGGATTTATCCAGTTGATAAATTTGATTTATTCAATTGATAAATCCAAGGTTGGATTTGTCCCTGGGAGTGTTCAAGGTTGGATTTATCCAATTGATAAATTGGATTTATCCAATTGATAAATCCAAGGTTGGATTTGTCCCTGGGAGTGTCGAAGGTTGGATTTATCCAATTGATAATTTATCCATTTATCCAATTGATAAATCCAAGGTTGGATTTATCCCTGAGAGTGTCCAAGGTTGGATTTATCCAATTGATAATTTATCCAATTGATAATTTATCAATTTATCCAACTGATAAATCCAAGGTTGGATTTGTCCCTGGGAGTGTCCAAGGTTGGATTTATCCAGTTGATAAATTGGATTTATCCAATTGATAAGTCCAAGGTTGGATTTGTCCCTGGGAGTGTTGAAGGTGGGATTTATCCAATTGATAAATTGGATTTATCCAATTGATAAATCCAAGGTTGGATTTGTCCCTGGGAGTGTCCAAGGTTGGATTTATCCAATTGATAAATTGGATTTATCCAATTGATAAATCCAAGGTTGGATTTGTCCCTGGGAGTGTCCAAGGTTGGATTTATCCAATTGATAAATCCAAGTTTGGGTTTATCAATTTATCAATTGATAAATCCAAGTTTGGGTTTATCAATTTATCAATTGATAAATCCAAGTTTGGGTTTATCAGTTTATCAATTGATAAATCCAAGTTTCGGTTTATCAATTGATAAATCCAAGTTTCGGTTTATCAATTTATCAATTGATAAATCCAAGTTTAAGTTTATCAATTTATCAATTGGATAAGTCCAACCTTGGACACTTGCAGGGATAAATCCCACCTTGGACACTTCCAGGGGTTAATCCAACCTTGGATTTATCAACTGGATAAATTGATTTATCAATTTATCAATTGGATAAATCCAACCTTGGACACTTCCAGGGATAAATCCAACCTTGGATTTATCAATTGGATAAATTTATCAATTGGATAAATCCAACCTTGGACACTTCCAGGGATAAATCCGACCTTGGATTTATCAATTGGATAAATTGGATTTATCAATTGGATAAATCAATTGGATTTATCAATTGGATAAATCCAACCTTGGACACTCCCAGGGATAGATCCAACCTTGGATTTATCAATTGGATAAATTGGATTTATCAATTGGATAAATCAATTGGATTTATCAATTGGATAAATCCAACCTTGGACACTCCCAGGGACAAATCCAACCTTGGATTTATCAATTGGATAAATTGATAAATTATCAATTGTATAAATTATCAATTGGATAAATCCAACCTTATCAATTGGATAAATCCAACCTTGGGCACTCCCAGAGATAAATCCAACCTTGGATTTATCAATTGGATAAATCAATTGGATTTATCAATTGGATAAATCCAACCTTGGACACTTCCAGGGATAAATCCAACCTTGGATTTATCAATTGGATATTTAATATCAATTGGATATTAAATTTATCCAATTTATCAATTGGATAAAGCCAACCTTGGACACTCCCAGGGATAAATCCAACCTTGGATTTATCAATAGGATAAATCAATTGGATTTATCAATTGGATAAATCCCAACCTTGGGCACTCCCAGGGATAAATCCAACCTTGGATTTATCAATTGGATAAATTGATAAATCCAACCTTATCAATTGGATAAATCCAACCTTGGACCCTCCCAGGGATAAATCCTGAAGGATTTTTTATGGAATTTGGAGATGGAAAAGGAAAGTGAGACCCTTCCTGGAGTGAATTCCCAATTCCCAGTGAAGCCTCTGGATCCCGGAATTCCTTCCCCGAGAGGAGCTGGGATGGGGATGGATCCAATCCAGGCTGGGAGAGCTGAGAATGGGACAAAGAAATTCCCAGAAAATCCCTGGGATCATCCAAGGAGAGGTTGGAACATTTTGGGATAGCAGGAGGGGTTGGAATGGGGTGGGGCTTGAGGTCCCTTCCCACCTACAGCATTCCACGATTCCATGATAATTCCATTTAATTTGGATTAAATGGAATTTAATTTAATTAAATTCCATTTAATTAGGGTGCCCTACCTGGGTCCTGATTTAATTTTCCCTTAAATCCATTTAATCCTTGGATTTAATTTTCCTTAAAATCCATTCAATCCTTGGATTTAATTTTCCTTTTAATCCACTCAATCCTTGGATTTAATTTTCCTTTAAATCCATTCAATCCTTGGATTTAATTTTCCTTTAAATCCATTAAATCCTTGGATTTAATTTTCCTTTAAATCCATTCAATCCTTGGATTTAATTTTCCTTTAAATCCATTCAACCCTTGGATATAATTTTCCCTTAAATCCATTCAATCCTTGGATTTAATTTTCCTTTAAATCCATTAAATCCTTGGATTTAATTTTCCCTTAAATCCATTCAATCCTTGGATTTAATTTTCCTTTAAATCCATTCAATCCTTGGATATAATTTTCCTTTAAATCCATTCAATCCTTGGATTTAATTTTCCTTTAAATCCATTAAATTTTCTCTTGGATCTGGGTGCCCTGCCTGGTTCCTGATTTAATTTTCCCTTAAATCCATTAAATCCTTGGATTTAATTTTCCTTTAAATCCATTAAATCCTTGGATTTAATTTTCCTTTAAATCCATTCAATCCTTGGATTTAATTTTCCTTTAAATCCATTCAATCCTTGGATTTAATTTTCCCTTAAATCCATTAAATCTTTTCTTGGATCTGGGTGCCCTACTTGGCTCCTAATTTAATTTTTCCTTTAAATCCATTAAATTCTTGGATTTAATTTTCCTTTAAATCCATTCAATCCTTGGATTTAATTTTCCCTTAAATCCATTAAATCCTTGGATTTAATTTTCCTTTAAATCCATTAAATCTTCTCTTGGATCTGGGTGCCCTGCCTGGTTCCTGATTTAATTTTCCCTTAAATCCATTCAATCCTTGGATTTAATTTTCCTTTAAATCCATTAAATCCTTGGATTTAATTTTCCTTTTAATCCATTCAATCCTTGGATATAATTTTCCTTTAAATCCATTCAATGCTTGGATTTAATTTTCCTTTTAATCCATTCAATCCTTGGATTTAATTTTCCTTTAAATCCATTCAATCCTTGGATTTAATTTTCCTTTAAATCCATTTAACCCTTGGATTTAATTTTCCCTTAAATCCATTCAATCCTTGGATTTAATTTTCCTTTAAATCCATTCAATCCTTGGATTTAATTTTCCTTTAAATCCATTCAATCCTTGGATTTAATTTTCCTTTAAATCCATTCAATCCTTGGATTTAATTTTCCTTTTAATCTATTCAATCCTTTGATTTAATTTTCCTTTAAATCCATTAAATCCTTGGATTTAATTTTCCCTTAAATCCATTCAATGCTTGGATTTAATTTTCCTTTAAAGCCATTAAATCTTTGGATTTAATTTTCCTTTAAATCCATTAAATTCTTGGATTTAATTTTCCCTTAAATCCATTCAATCCTTGGATTTAATTTTCCTTTAAATCCATTCAATGCTTGGATTTAATTTTCCTTTAAAGCCATTAAATCTTTGGATTTAATTTTCCTTTAAATCCATTAAATTCTTGGATTTAATTTTCCTTTAAATCCATTAAATCCTTGGATTTAATTTTCCTTTAAATCTATTAAATCCTTGGATTTAATTTTCCTTTAAATCCATTAAATCTTCTCTTGGATCTGGGTGCCCTGCCTGGTTCCGGATTTAATTTTCCCTTAAATCCATTCAATCCTTGGATTTAATTTTCCTTTAAATCCATTAAATCCTTGGATTTAATTTTCCTTTTAAATCCATTCAATCCTTGGATTTAATTTTCCTTTAAATCCATTAAATTCTTGGATTTAATTTTCCTTTAAATCCATTCAATCCTTGGATTTAATTTTCCCTTAAATCCATTCAATCCTTGGATTTAATTTTCCTTTAAATCCATTAAATCCTTGAATTTAATTTTCCCTTAAATCCATTCAATCCTTGGATTTAATTTTCCCTTAAATCCACTCAATCCTTGGATTTAATTTTCCTTTTAATCCATTCAAATCCAATCAAAAACAAATTTTTCTGTTCCAAAAACGCCGCAAAGCCGTAAATCCTCCCAGGAATCCTCAATAATTCCCGTATTTTCCAACCCATATGGAAACAACTTCACCCAAATCTCCCGATCCCAAAAAACGTTTGTTTTGCCCTTTTTTTTTTGTTTTTTTGTTGAGTTTTGACCCGTTTTAATTTGTATTTTTTTGTTTTTTCCGTAGGAATTTTTCGAGAACCCGGCGTTCCGCCCCGACGGGATGAAGTTGTACCCGACCTTGGTGATCCGCGGCACCGGGCTCTACGAACTTTGGAAAAGTGGGAGATACCGGAGTTACCCCCCGAGCACCTTGGTGGACCTGGTGGCACGGATCCTGGCGCTGGTGCCACCTTGGACACGCGTCTACCGCGTCCAGAGGTGATTCCCGGCCGGAATCGGCTCCATTCCTTAATTCGTTAGCTCTCAGCCTTAATTAACTCCCAGTAATTAAGGGAAGATCTTACTTAAAGCTGGTCGTTGTCTGGGAAATTGGGAAACGCACGGAAAGTTCCGGAAGCGCCGCGTCCAGAGGTGATTCCCGGCCGGAATCGGCTCAATTCCTTAATAAAACCTCGGCCTTCGTTAGCTCCCAGCCTTAATTATCTCCCAGTAATTAAGGGAAGATCTTAGTGGAGTTGGTCGTTGTCGGGAAATGGGGAAACGCACGGAAAGTTCCGGAAGCGCCGCGTCCAGAGGTGATTCCCGGCCGGAATCGGCTCCATTCCGTAACACAACCTCGGCCTTCGTTAGCTCCCAGCCTTAATTATCCCCCAGTAATTAAGGGAAGATCTTACGCGGAGCTGGTCGTTATCTGGGAAATCGGGAAACGCACGGAAAGTTCCGGAAGCGCCGCTTCCGTCACTGGCCGGACACGGCTCCCGGGGCTGGGAAGATCCGTAGGGATAATTCCTTAATAAAACCTCGGTCTTCGTTAGTTCCCAGCCCTAATTATCTCCAGTAATTAAGGGAAGATCTTACTCGGAGTTGGTCGTTGTCTGGGAAATTGGGAAACGCACGGAAAGTTCCGGAAGCGCCGCTTCCGACACCGGCCGGGAACGGCTCCCGGGGCTGGGAGGATCCGTAGGGATAATTCCTTAATTCAACCTCGGCCTTCGTTAGCTCCCAGCCTTAATTATCTCCAGTAATTAAGGGAAGATCTTACGCGGAGCTGTGCGGGTGGGAAATTGGGAAACGCACGGAAAGTTCCGGAAGCGCCACGTCCAGAGGTGATTCCCGGCCGGAATCGGCTCAATTCCTTAATTCGTTAGCTCTCAGCCTTAATTATCTCCCAGTAATTAAGGGAAGATCTTAGCAGAGCTGGTCGTTGTCAGGGAAATTGGGAAATGCACGGAAAGTTCCGTCTACCGCGTCCAGAGGTGATTCCCGGCCGGAATCGGCTCAATTCTGTAATAAAACCTCGGCCTTCGTTAGCTCCCAGCCTTAATTATCTCCAGTAATTAAGGGAAGATCTTACTCAGATCGGGTCGTTGTCTGGGAAATTGGGAAACGCACGGAAAGTTCCGTCTACCGTGTCCAGAGGTGATTCCCGGCCGGAATCGGCTCAATTCCTTAATTCAACCTCGGCCTTCGTTAGCTCCCAGCCTTAATTATCCCCAGTAATTAAGGGAAGATCTTACACGGAGCTGTGCGGGTGGGAAATCGGGAAACGCACGGAAAGTTCCGGAAGCGCCGCTTCCGACACCGGATGGGGACGGCTCCCAGGGCTGGGAGGATCCGTAGGGATAATTCCTTAATTCAACCTCGGCCTTCGTTAGCTCCCAGAATTAATTATCTCCCAGTAATTAAGGGACGATCTTACGCGGAGCTGTGCGGGTGGGAAATGGGGAAACGCACGGAAAGTTCCGGAAGTGCCGCATCCAGAGGTGATTCCCGGCCGGAATTGGCTCAATTCCGTAATACAACCTCGGCCTTCGTTAGCTCCCAGCCTTAATTATCCCCAGTAATTAAGGGAAGATCTTACTTGGAGCTGTGCGGGTGGGAAATGGGGAAACGCACGGAAAGTTCCGGAATCGCCGCTTCCGACACCGGCGGGGACAACTCCCGGGGCTGGGAGGATCCGTAGGGATAATTCCTTAATTCAACCTCGGCCTTCGTTAGCTCCCAGTCTTAATTATCTCCCAGTAATTAAGGGAAGATCTTAGCGGAGTTGGTCGTTGTCTGGGAAATGGGGAAACGCACGGAAAGTTCCGTCTACCGCGTCCAGGGGTGATTCCCGGCCGGAATCGGCTCAACTCCGTAATTCGTTAGCTCTCAGCCTTAATTATCCCCCAGTAATTAAGGGAAGATCTTACGCGGAGCTGTGCGGGTGGGAAATGGGGAAACGCACGGAAAATTCCGGAGGCGCCGCTTCCGACACCGGCCGGGGACGGCTCCCGGGGCTGGGAGGATCCGTAGGGATAATTCCTTAATACAACCCCGGCCTTCGTTAGCTCTCAGCCTTAATTATCCCCAGTAATTAAGGGAAGATCTTACTCGGAGTTGGTCGTTGTCTGGGAAATTGGGAAACGCACGGAAAATTCCGGAAGCGCCGCTTCCGACACCGGCCGGGCACGGCTCCCGGGGCTGGGAGGATCCGTAGGGATAATTCCTTAATACAACCTCGGCCTTCGTTAGCTCCCAGCCTTAATTATCTCCCAGTAATTAAGGGAAGATCTTACGCGGAGCTGTGCAGGTGGGAAATGGGGAAACCCACGGAAAGTTCCGGAAGCGCCGCGTCCAGAGGTGATTCCCGGCCGGAATCGGCTCAATTCCATAATACAACCTCGGCCTTCGTTAGCTCCCAGCCTTAATTACCCCCAGTAATTAAGGGAAGATCTTAGCAGAGCTGGTCGTTGTCTGGGAAATGGGGAAACGCACGGAAAGTTCCGGAAGCGCCGCGTCCAGAGGTGATTCCCGGCCGGAATCGGCTCAATTCCTTAACACAACCTCGGCCTTCGTTAGCTCCCAGCCTTAATTATCCCCAGTAATTAAGGGAAGATCTTACGCGGAGCTGTGCGGGTGGGAAATGGGGAAACGCACGGAAAGTTCCGGAAGCGCCGCTTCCGACACCGGCCGGGAACGGCTCCCGGGGCTGGGAGGATCCGTAGGGATAATTCCGTAATTCAACCTCAGCCTTCGTTAGCTCCCAGCCTTAATTATCCCCAGTAATTAAGGGAAGATCTTACGCGGAGCTGTGCGGGTGGGAAATGGGGAAACGCACGGAAAGTTCCGTCTACCGCGTCCAGAGGTGATTCCCGGCTGGAATCGGCTCAATTCCGTAATAAAACCTCGGTCTTCGTTAGCTCCCAGCCTTAATTATCCCCAGTAATTAAGGGAAGATCTTACTCAGAGCTGGTCGTTGTCTGGGAAATTGGGAAACGCACGGAAAGTTCCGGAAGCGCCGCTTCCGACACCGGCCGGGAATGGATCCGTAGGGATAATGGGTGGGTCCTGTGGTGGGTAATTAATTAATGGGGTGGGTAATTAATGGGGATCGATCCCATGATTAATGGGTTATTAATGGGGTGGATCCTGTGATGGATTATTAATTGGATTCCCTGATGGATAATGTGTGGGATGGATCCCAGGATGGATCATTAATTGGGCCGATCCTGTGATGGGTCCTTAATTGGATCCCATGATGGATAATTAATTGGGCGTATCCCATGATGGATCATTAATTGGATCCTGTGGTTGATAAGTATTGAAATAGATCCCATGATGGATCATTAACTGGGCAGATCCTGTGATGGATCATTAATTGGATCCCATGATGTATAATTAATTGAATGGATAATTAATGGAATGGATCCCAGGATGGATCATTAATTAGGCGGATCCTGTGATGGGTCATTAATTGGATCCCATGATGGATAATTAATTGGATGGATGCTCTGATGGTTAATTAATGGAATGGATCCCATGATGGATCATTAATTGGGTGGATCTTGTGATGGATCATTAATTGGATCCCGTGATGGATAATTAGTGGGATGGATCCCATGATGGATAATGAGATGGATCTCATGATGGATCATTAATTGGATGGATTCTCTGATGGATAATTAATGGAATGGATCCCATGATGGATAATTAATTGGATGGATGCTCTGATGGATAATTATTGGAATGGATCCCATGATGGATAATGGGTGGATTCCATGATGGATAATTAATTGGATGGATGCTCTGATGGTTAATTAATTGAATGGATCCCATGATGGGTCATTAATTAGATCCTGTGATGGATAATTAGTGGGATGGATCCCATGATGGATAATGGGTGGATCCTATAATGGATAATTAGTGGGATGGACCCCATGATGGATAATGAGATGGATCCCATGATGGATAATTAATTGGATGGGTGCTCTGATGGATAATTAGTGGAATGGATCCCAGGATGGATAATGGGTGGATCCCGTGATGGATCGTTAATTGGATCCTGTGGTGGATAATTAATGGAATGGATCCCAGGATGGATCATTAATGGGGTGGACTCCGTGATGGATCATTAATTGGATTCCCTGATGGATAATGAGTGGGATGGATCCCATGATGGATCATTAATTGGGCGTATCCCGTGATGGGTCATTAATTGGATCCCATGATGGATAATTAATTGGATGGATCCCATGATGGATAATTAATTGGATGGATGCTCTGATGGATAATTAATGGAATGGATCCCAGCATGGATCATTAATTGGGCGGATCCTGTGATGGATCATTAATTGGATCCTGTGATGGATAATTAGTGGAATGGATCCCATGATGCATAATTAATTGGGTGGATCCTGTGATGGATCGTTAATTGGATCCCATGATGGATAATTAGTGGGATGGACCCCATGATGGATAATGAGATGGATCCCATGATGGATAATTAATTGGATGGGTGCTCTGATAGATAATTATTGGAATGGATCCCATGATGGATCATTAATTGGATTCCCTGGTGGATAATGAGTGGGATGGATCCCAGGATGGGTCATTAATTGGGTGGATCCTGTGATGGGTCATTAATTGGATCCCATAATGGATAATTAATTGGATGGATAATTAATGGAATGGATCCCATGATGAATCATTAATTGGATCCCATGGTGGATAATTAGTGGGATGGATCCCATGATGGATCATTAATTATATCCCGTGATGGATAATTAGTGGGATGGACCCCATGATGGATAATGAGATGGATCTCATGATGGATAATTAATAGGATGGATGCTCTGATGGATAATTAGTGGGGTGGATCCCATGATGGATAATGAGATGGATCCCATAATGGATAATTAATTGGATGGATTCTCTGATGGATAATTAATAGAATGTATCCCATAATGGATAATTAATTGTATAAACGCTCTGATGGATAATTAATGGAATGGATCCCATGATGGATCATTAATTGGGTGGATGCTCTGATGGATAATTAGTGGGATGGATCCCATGATGGATCATTAATTGGATCCTGTGGTGGATAATTATTGGAATTAATCCCATGATGGATAATGGGTGGATCCCATCATGCATAATTAATTGGGTGGATGCTCTGATGGATAATTAATGGGCTGGATCCCAGGATGGATCATTAATTGGGTGTATCCCATGATGGATCATTAATTGGATCCCGTGGTTGATAATTATTGGAATGGATCCCAGGATGGATCATTAATTGGTCGGATCCTGTGATGGGTCATTAATTAGATCCATGATGGATAATTATTGGAATGGATCCCATGATGGATAATTAATAGGATGGGTGCTCTGATGGATAATTAATGGAATGGATCCCATGATGGATCATTAATTGTGTGGATCGCACGACAGATAATTAATTGGATGGATCCCATTATTTAAAAAAAATTAATTAAAAAAATCTGGAATTAGAGGGAATTCCAGGAAATTTGACATCTGGAATGAGAAATATATAATACATAATATATAATATATAATATATAATATATAATATATAATATATAATATATAATATATAACATATAACATATAATATTTAATATTTAATATTTAATATTTAATATTTAATATATAATTAATATATAATATATAATATATAATATATAATATATAATATATAATATATAATATATAATATATAATATATAATATATAATTCTTTCTATAAATACATATTTATTTAATATATATAATTCATATATATATATATATAAAATAAACTCCCATATTTTTACTCTTAATAAAACCTATAATTTCTTTTAATTTTCCATTTCTCATTTTCACTTTCCATTTTCCTCCCGCTTTTATTTATTTCTTTATTTTATTTTTAATCCACCCAAACCCTTCAGTTTGAAGTAATTAATCAAATTTGGGAATTCAGCAATTTGGGATTTATTTTTTGGTTAAATTTTTGCTCATTTTTTGCAAATTTAGCTGCAATAATTTGAATTTTTATCTCTTTTTTTTTAGGGATATTCCCATGCCCCTGGTCAGCTCCGGGGTGGGAATTCAGCAATTTGGGATTTATTTTTTGGTTAATTTTTTTGCTCATTTTTTGTTAATTCAGCCGCAATAATTTGAATTTTTCTCTCTTTTTTTTAGGGATATTCCCATGCCCCTGGTCAGCTCCGGGGTGGGAATTCAGCAATTTGGGATTTATTTTTTGGTGAATTTTTTGGTGAATTTTTTGCTAATTCAGCCGCAATAATTTGAATTTTTCTCTTTTTTTTAGGGATATTCCCATTCCCCTTGCTCAGCTCCGGGGTGGGAATTCAGCAATTTGGGATTTATTTTTTGCTCATTTTTTGCTAATTTTTTGTTAATTCAGCTACAATAATTTGAATTTTTTTCTCTTTTTTTTTAGGGATATTCCCATGCCCCTGGTCAGCTCCGGGGTGGGAATTCAGCAATTTGGGATTTGTTTTTTGGTGAATTTTTTGGTGAATTTTTTGCTCATTTTTTGCGAATTTTTTGCTAATTCAGCCGCAATAATTTGAATTTTTTTGGGTTTTTTTTAGGGACATTCCCATGCCCCTGGTCAGCTCCGGGGTGGAACACGGGAACCTCCGGGAACTCGCCCTGGCCAGGATGAAGGACTTGGGCACTGAGGTAAATTCCAAAAAAAATCAATTTATAATCATAAAAAATACATTATTAAACACTTCATAAATAATTTAAATCAATTATTGTGAAACAATTCCGAGTTATTGTCAAAAATAATAAATCATGGGGAAAAAAACCTCAAAACAACCAGATTTGGCTTAAAAATATATTAAAAAATCAGATTTTACTTTAAAAAAAAACCAATTTTTCCCCCCCTCATTTTTCTAATTTTATTTTGCTTTTTTTTGCCCATTTTCCCCCATTTATTCCCATTTTTCCACCTATTTTCCGCCCATTTTTTCCCTCATTTTCTTGCCCATTTCCCCCCCATTTTCCCATTTTTTCAATTTTTTTTTCACTCATTTTCCCCCATTTTCCCCTTTTTCCCATTTTCCACATTTTTCCCATTTTTTCCCATTTTTCCCATTTTTTCCCATTTTTTCAATTTTTTTCCACTCATTTTCCCCCATTTTTCCCTTTTTTCAATTTTCCACATTTTTTCCCATGTTTTTCTCATTTCGCCCCATTTTTTCCCATTTTTCCCCATTTTCCCCCTTTTCCCCATTTTTCCCTTTTTTCCATATTTTTTCCCATTTCCCCCCATTTTTTCCCCATTTTTTTCTCATTTCGCCCCATTTTTTCCCAATTTTTTCCCATTTTCCCCCATTTTTCCTTTTTTCCATTTTCCACATTTTTTTTCCCATTTTTTCCCATTTTCCCCCATTTTTTCCCAATTTTCCCCCTTTTCCCCATTTTTCCTATTTTCCACATTTTTCCCATTTTTTCTCATTTCCCCCCATTTTTTCCCACTTTTCCCCATTTTTTCCCCTTTTCCCTATTTTTCCCTTTTTCCACATTTTCTCCCATATTTTTTCCCATTTTCCCCTTTTCCCCCCATTTTTCCCCATTTCCCCCATTTTTTCACTAATTTTTTCCCTTTTTTTGGTCCATTTTTTCACCCATTTCCCCCCCATTTTTTACCCTAAAAAACCCCAAATCCCAGGAAAAAAACCCAATTCCCAAAAAAATACAAATCCCATCCAAAAAAATCCCCAAATCCTGCAGAAAACCTCAAATCCCAAAAAAATATTTGGGATTTCTGGGAGGGATATTTGGGATTTTTTGAGGGGATATTTGGGATTTCTGGAATGAAATCTTTGGGATTTCTGGAATGAAATATTTGGGATTTTTTGAGGGGATATTTGGAAATTCTGGAACTAAATATTTGGGATGTTTTGAGGGGATATTTGGGATTTCTGGGAATGTAATATTTGAGATTTTTTTGAGAGGATATTTGGGATTTTTTGAGAGAATATTTGGAATTTCTGGAACGAAATATTTGGGATTTTTTGAGGGGATATTTGGGATTTTTTTGTGGGGATATTTGAGATTTTTGAGGGAATATTTGGGATTCCTGGAACGAAATATTTGGGATTTCTGGAATGGGATATTTGGGATTTCTGGAACGAAATATGTGGAATTTCTGGAACGAAATATTTGGGATTTCTGGAATGGAATATTTGGGATTTCTGGAATGGAATATTTGGGATTTCTGGAGGGGATATTTGGGATTTCTGGAACGAAATATTTGGGATTTTTTTGAATGAATATTTGGAATTTATGGAATGGGATATTTGGGATTTTTTGAGGGGATATTTGGGATTTCTGGGAGGGATATTTGGAATTCCTGGAACGAAATATTTGGGATTTCTGGAATGGGATATCTGGGATTTTTTGAGGGGATATTTGGGATTTCTGGAATGGGATATTTGGAATTTCTGGAATGAAATATTTGGGATTTTTTGAGGGAATATTTTGAATTTCTGGAACGAAATATTTGGGATTTTTTGAGGGAATATTTGGGATTTTTTGAGGGGATATTTGGAATTTCTGGAACAAAATATATGGGATTTTTTGAGGGGATATTTGGGATTTTTTGAGGGGATATTTGGAATTCCTGGAACAAAATATTTGGGATTTCTGGAATGGGATATTTGGGATTTTTTGAGGGAATATTTGGAATTTCTGGAATGAAATATTTGGGATTTTTTGAGGGGATATTTGGGATTTTTTGTGGGGATATTTTGGATATTTTGTGGGGATATTTGGGATTTTTTGAGGGAATATTTGGAATTTCTGGAACAAAATATTTGGAATTTCTGGAGGGGATATTTGGGATTTCTGGAACGAAATATTTGGAATTTTTTTAAGAAATATTTGGGATTTCTTTAAGAAATATTTGGGATTTCTGGAAGGGAATATTTGGGATTTCTGGAATGGGATATTTGGAATTTCTGGAATGGAATATTTGGAATTTTTGGAGGAAATATTTGGGATTTCTGGAAGGGAATATTTGGAATATCTGAATTTTCCCAATTTCCCCTTCACCACAAGCGAGTTCCCCCTTGGGAATTCACCTGGAATTTTCTGGAATTTTCCGGAATTTTCTGGAATTTTCTGGAATTTTCCAGAATTTCCCGTCCTTTTCCTGCAGTGCCGCGACATTCGGACGCGCGAGGTCGGAATTCAGGAAATCCACAACAAAGTCCGGCCCTACCAGGTAAAAATTCCATTTTTTTTTCCCCAATTCCCGAGGAAATTCACGGATCGGATCAACCAATCGCCGCCCTGGGTTTGCAATTCCAAAAATTCCCAAAATTCCCAAAATTCCCCCTTTTTTCCCCGGGAAAATCGGGATTTGGGAAATGCGTGGAAAGGGGAATTTGGGATTTTTGGGTGAATTTTCAGGGGTTTTGGGCAATTGGGGTGAATTGAAATGTGGGATTTTTGTGGGGAAAAATGGAATTAAAGTGTGTGGAAATAGAGATAAATATAGATAAAATATAGGTGAAATTTAGATTAAATGTATTTATTTATTAATAGGGATAATATATATGAAATATAGGTAAAATGTAGATAAATATATTTATTTATTTATTAGTATAGATAATATATATTAAATATAGGTAAAATGTAGATAAATAAGTTTATGTATTAATGTAGATAATATAGATAAAATATAGATTAAATATATTTGTCTATGTATTAATATAGATAAATATAGATAAAATCTAGACAAAATCTATGTATTAATGTAGATAAATATGGATTAAATATGAATAAAATAGACATTAAATACATTTATGTATTAATATAGATAAATATTAGACAAAATATAGATAAAATATAGATAAAATATATTTATCTATTAATATAGATAAATATAAATAAAATCTAGATAAAATATATTTATGTATTAATACAGATAAATATATATAAAATAGAGATAAAATAGAGATCAAATATATTTATATATTAATGTAGATAAATATGGATAAAATAAGGAAAAATGAAGGCAAAATGAGGATAAAATATATTTATTTATTAGTATAGATAATATATATTAAATATAGGTAAAATGTAGATAAATATATTTATGTATTAATGTAGATAAATATATATAAAAAATTAACAAAATATATTTATCTATGTAATAATGTAGATAAATATAAAGACAAAATAGAGATAAAATATATTTATATATTAATATAGATACATATAAATAAAATATATTTTAAATATATTTATCTATTAATAGAGATAAAATAGATAAAATCTAGAAAAAATCTTTTTATCTGTGTATTAATGTACATAAATATAGATAAAATATATTTATATATTTATATAGATACATATAGATAAAATATGCATAAAAGAGACATAAAATGTATTTATGTATATATTAATACAGATAAATCTATATATAATATAGAAAAAATATAGATAACATATATTTATCTGTGTATTAATATAGATGAATATATAAAATACAGATAAAATGTAGGTAAAATATATTTATGAATTAATGTAGGTAAATATGGATAAAATATAGATTCAATATTTATCTATGTATTAATGTAGATAAACATATATAAAATATAGATAAAATATATTTATGTATAAATATGGATAAAATATATTAAATCTAGACAAAATATATTTATCCATGTATTAATGTAGATAAATATATAGACAAAATATAGATAAAATATATTTATCTATTACTATAGATATCTGTTAGTATAGATAAATCTATATAAAATATAGATTAAATTTATCTATGCATTAATACATATAAATATCTATAAAATATAGATAAAAAGATATTGGTATGTGTAATAATGTAGGTAAATATATATAAAGTATATCTATGTATTAATGTAGATAAATATGTATTAAATATAGAGAATATGTTTATCTATTTATATTATATGTTTAATAAATATAATATATTTAATAAATATAATATATTTAATAAATATAATATATTTATCTATGAATACACATGAATATATAGACAAAATGTAGATAAAATACATTTAATTATTAATATACGTAAATATATCTAAAATACAGATAAAATATATTTATGTAGTAATGTAGATAAATATAAAGTTTAGATAGAATATATTTATCCATCTAATAATATACACAAAATATATATAAAATAAAAATAAAATATATTTATCTATGTATTAATAAATCCCACTCCCAGAATAATTGGATCTTATCCGTCGGGATTCCGTGGCCAATCCCAAATTCCCATCAGGAATCAAACTCACTTTAGGGAATCCTTTTCACTCAGATTTATGGATCCACGGAATCGGCTCCGCTCTCACATTCCCATTTTTCCCTCCTTTCCCTCCTCACCCATCCCACTCCCAGAATAATTGGAGTTTATCCATTGGGATTCTGTGGCCAATCCCAAATTCCCATCTGGAATCAAACTCAATTTAGGGAATCCTTTTCACTCATATTTTTGGATCCACGGAATCAGCTTCGCTCTCACATTCCCATTTTTCCCTCCTTTCCCTCCTCACCCATCCCACTCCCAGAATAATTGGATCTTATCCATCAGGATTATATGGCCAATCCCAAATTCCCATCTGGAATTTGGGATTCCCATTAGGGAATCCTTTCCTTTTCACTCATATTTTTGGATCCACGGAATCGGCTTCACTCTCACATTCCCATTTTTCCTCCTTTCCCTCCTCTCCCATCCCACTCCCAGAATAATTGGAACCGATCCATTGGGATTCCGTGGCCAATCCCAAATTCCCATCTGGGAATTTGGGATTCCCATTAGGGAATCCTTTCCTATTTTCTCAGATTTGTGGATCCATGGAATCGGCTTCGCTCTCACATTCCCATTTTTCCTCCTTTCCCTCATCCCACTCCCAGAATAATTGGATCTTATCCGTTGGGATCCCATGGCCAATCCCAAATTCCAATCTGGAATCAAACTCACTTTAGGGAATCCTTTTCACTCAGATTTTTGGATCCACGGAATCGGCTTCACTCTCACATTCCCATTTTTCCCTCCTTTCCCTCTTCATCCATCCCACTCCCAGAATAATTGGAATTGATCCATTGGAATTCCATGGCCAATCCCAAATTCCCATCTGGAATCAAACTGGTTTTAGGGAATCCTTTCCTGTTTGCTCATATTTATGGATCCACGGAATCGGCTTCACTCTCACATTCCCATTTTTCCCTCCTTTCCCTCATCCCACTCCCAGAATAATTGGAGGTGATCCATTGGGATTATGTGGCCAATTCCAAATTCCCATCTGGAATCAAACTCGATTTAGGAAATCCTTTTCACTCAGATTTATGGATCCACGGAATCGGCTTCACTCTCACATTCCCTTTTTCCTTCTTTCCCTCCTCATCCATCCCCTCCTGGAATTGATCCGTCGGGATTCCGTGGCCAATTCCAAATTCCCATCTGGAATCAAACTCACTTTAGGGAATCCTTTTCACTCAGATTTATGGATCCACGGAATCGGCTCCGCTCTCACATTCCCATTTTCCCCTCCTTTCCCTCCTCATCCATCCCACTCCCAGAATAATTGGATCTTATCCGTTGGGATTCCGTGGCCAATCCCAAATTCCCATCTGGAATCAAATTCAATTTAGGGAATCATTTCCTGTTTGCTCAGATTTATGGATCCACGGAATCGGCTCCGCTCTCACATTCCCTTTTTTCCTCCTTTCCCTTATCCCACTCCCAGAATAATTGGAGCTGATCCATCGGGATTCCGTGGCCAATCCCAAATTCCCATCTGGAATCAAACTCACCTTAGGGAATCCTTTCCTGTTTGCTCATATTTATGGATCCACGGAATCGGCTTCGCTCTCACATTTTCCATTTTTCCCTCCTTTCCCTCCTCATCCATCCCCTCCTGGAGTTGATCCGTTGGGATTCCGTGGCCAATTCCAAATTCCCATCTGGAAATTTGGGATTCCCATTAGGGAATCCTTTCCTTTTTGCTCAGATTTGTGGATCCACGGAATCGGCTTCGCTCTCACATTCCCATTTTTCCCTCCTTTCCCATTCCCGTCCCAGGTGGAGCTGATCCGTCGGGATTACGTGGCCAACGGCGGCTGGGAGACGTTCCTGTCCTACGAGGATCCGGATCAGGACATCCTGGTGGGGCTTCTCCGCCTCCGGAAAAGTTCTCCGGAGACTTTCCGCCCGGAGCTGAAGGGCGGCGTCTCCGTCGTCCGGGAATTGCACGTCTACGGCAGCGTGGTGCCCGTCAGCAGCCGCGATCCCTCCAAATTCCAGCACCAGGTCCTCCGGAATTCCCGCTTTTCCCTCGGCTCCATCCTCATTCCATCTCTTTTTCCCAAAAAAAAATCGGATTTTTATGGAATTTCATTGAATTCCGCTCATTCACTCTGAGCTGGGATGGGATTTGAGCTGCTTTTTGCTGGAATTCTGCTTTTTCCCAAATTTTTTTTTCTTTTTTCCCAATGGGATTACATCCCAGCCATTCCTGGATTTCTGAGATTTCAAAATTTTCCATAAAAATTTAAAAAAATTCCTTTCTGGAGCTGCTTCATTCCCAACCCTCAGCAGCCTTTGGATTTCCCTGTTAATTAATTCCTGCTCCGGGTGACGAATTCCATTGGAATTTCCTGGAATCTGCAGAAATTCCCACTGGGAAGGGGAAATGGGGTTCGGTGCTGCCCAGGTTTATTCCAAAGGGATTTTTGTGGGATGGGATTTTCCTGCTGGATCGGAATTCCATAAAAATCCCTCGGGATGGATCCTGAGTCTCCTGGATCCCAAAATCCCGGAATTCTCCAGATTGAATCCATGGACCTTCAATCCCATCCCATTCCAACGCTGCCTCCTCTCTGAGAGGAGAATTTTGGGAATTCCCTGGGAATTTGGGACTCCAGGAAGGGTCTCCCTTCCCTTTTTCCAACCCCAAATCCCATAAAAATCCCTCGGGATTGATCCTGAGTGTCCTGGATCCCAAAATCCCGGAATTCTCCAGATTGGATCCATGGACCCTCAATCCCATCCCATTCCCACCCCTGGCTTCTCTCTGGGAAAGAATTTTGGGAATTTGGGACTCCAGGAAGGGTCTCCCTGGAATTTCCATCCCCAAATTCCATAAAAATCCCTCGGGATGGATCCTGAGCGTCCTGGATCCCAAAATCCTGGAATTCTCCAGATTGGATCCCTGGACCTTCAATCCCATCCCATTCCCACCCCTGGCTTCTCTCTGGGAAAGAATTTTGGGAATTTCGGACTCCAGGAAGGGTCTCCCTTCCCTTTTCCAACCCAAATCCCATAAAAAATTCCTCGGGATGGATCCTGAGCGTCCTGGATCCCAAAATCCCGGAATTCTCCAGATTGGATCCATGGACCTTCAACCCCATCCCATTCCCACCCTAAAATCCTTTAATTTTCCAACCTTTCCTTGGACACTCCCAAGGATTCTCCGGGAATTCCAGCCCAGCCAGGAATTCCTTCCCCATATCCCACAAATTTTCCCATTTTTCCCGGATTTTTTTTGGAACCCATCTCCACATCCCGACCTTTCTCGTGGCTTTTGTTTTGACAGAATTTTCCTTAATTTTTTTTTATTTTTCCCACTTTTTTCCTGCCATTCCAGGGGTTTGGAATGCTGCTGATGGAGGAGGCGGAGAGGATCGCCAGGGAGGAACACGGGGCACGGAAAATTGCCGTAATTTCAGGTATTTTCGTTAAAATAAATCCCTTGGGGATTTATTTTTTTTTTTAGGATGTTTTTCTCTTAATCTGCGTCCGGAATTTTCCCGGAGAAAGGAGCTGGGAGAAAAAACTGGGAAAATTCCCATTTTTCCTGACAGCAGAGGGAGAATTTTGGGTTGGAATCGATGGGATTTTGGGAGCTCAAGGAAAGCTTTTTTTCCATCCTACGGAATACAATAATTTAATATAAATTCAAATTTTGGGGAATGATGGGAAGGGGAATTCGTGTTGCCGTAAGAATTTCGGGAGATTTAACAGGGGAGGGGTTTTTTTTGGGAAAAAATTCCTCATTTTCTGTTTACCCACCAAAAAAAAACCCAAAATAAAAAAAAAAACAAAAATCAGAAATCCACAGCTGGATGTGCCAAGGGATTCCAGAATTCCACGATTCTTTTTCCCAATAATTTCCGTATTCCTGTTTGGTGTCAGTTTGAACTGGGAATTCCACCTGGATTCCGGAATTCCATGATTCTTTTTCCCAATAATTTCCATATTCCTGTTTGGTGCCGGTCTGAACTGGGAATTCCACCTGGATTCCGGAATTCCATGATTCCATAACTGAGTTCTTTCCCAATTTTTGGTGTTTTTTGGTGTCATTTTGATCTGGGAATTCCACCTGGATTCTGGAATTCCATGATTCTTTTTCCCAATAATTTCCATATTATTTTTTGGTGCCGGTCTGAGCTGGGAATTCCACCCGAATTCCGGAATTCCACGATTCTTTTTCCCAATAATTTCCCTATTCCTGTTTGGTGTAAGTTTGAATTGGGAATTCCATCTGGATTCCGGAATTCCACGATTCTGTTCCCAATCATTTCCATATTCCTGTTTGGTGCCGCTCTGAACTGGGAATTCCACCTGAATTCCGGAATTCCACGATTCTTTTTCCCAATAATTTCCCTATTCCTGTTTGGTGTCAGTTTGAACTGGGAATTCCACCTGAATTCCGAAATTCCACGATTCTTTTTCCCAATAATTTCCATATTCCTGTTTGGTGCCGCTCTGAACTGGGAATTCCACCTGGATTCCGGAATTCCACGATTCTTTTTCCCAATAATTTCCATATTCCTGCTTGGTGTCAGTCTGAACTGGGAATTCCACCTGGATTCCAGAATTCCACGATTCTTTTTCCCATTAATTTCCATATTATTTTTTGGCGCCGCTCTGAACTGGGAATTCCCCCCGGATTCCGTTGGTATCCCGGGAGTGCAGAAATTCCCGCAGTTTCTCCACGATCCGCAGCTTTTCCAGCTGTTTCCTTGGAGATGCTGAATTCCAGTCCCGCTGGAATTTTTATCCGGAATAAATCCGCCCCCAAACCTGGAGAAATCCCTGGATCCAAACCTGGAGATGGGAATGGAGAAATCCCTGGATCCAAACCTGGGGAAATCCCTGGATCCAATCCTGGAGAAATCCCTGGATCCAAACCTGGAGAAATCCCTGGATCCAATCCTGGAGAAATTCCTGGATCCAAACCTGGAGAAATTCCTGGATTTAAACCTGGAGATGGGAATGGAGAAATCCCTGGATCCAAACTTGGAGAAATCCCTGGATCCAAACCTGGAGATGGGAATGGAGAAATTCCTGGATCCAAACCTGGAGAAATTCCCGGATCCAAACCTGGAGAAATTCCTGGATCCAAACCTGGAGAAATTGTGGCACAGGAGATGCCACAATCCTGAAAAAACTGGGAATTCTGGGCTGGAATTCTGGAATTCTGGAATTCCCGGAAGTAGGAGTGGGGTGGGATCAGAGCTGGGAACATTTTCCGGGAATTTCAAAGGAATTGATCTTCCGTTCCGTGGGAATGTCGAGCGTTGAAATCGTGTTCTCCGAGCTCGGAGTGTGTCCGAATCCCAAATTTTCTTCGTGTTTTCGGTCCAAGAATTCCTGGATTTGTGTCCAGTGGGATTTGTGCATTTCCCTGGATGCTGATATCCCTGGATCCCGTTATCCTGGATCCCATTTTCCCTGGATCCCATTTTCCCAGAATCCCATTTCCCCTGGATCCCATTATCCTGGATCCCGTTTTCCCTGGATCCCATTTTCCCTGGATCCCGTTATCCCGGGAATATTTTCCCTGGATCCCGTTATCCTGGATCCCTTTATCCCTGGATCCCATTTTCCCCGGATCCATTTTCCCTGGATCCCATTTTCCCAAAATCCCATTTTCCCTGGATCCCATTATCCCGAATCCCGTTATCCTGGATCCCATTTTCCCTGGATCCCCTTTTTCCTGGATGTTTTTTCCCCGGATCCCATTTTCCCTGGATCCCATTTTCCCTGGATCCCATTTTCCCTGGATCCCATTTTCCCTGGATTTTTTTTCCCTCGATCCCGTTATCCCTGGATCCCGTTATCCCGAATCCTGTTTTCTCTGGATCCCATTATCCCAGAATCCCGTTATCCTGGATCCCATTTTCCCAGAATCCTGTTTTCCCTGGATCCCATTTTCCCAGAATCACATTTTCCCAGAATCCCATTTTCCCAGGATCCCGTTATCCCAGAATCCCATTTTCCCCGGATCCCGTTTTCCTGGATCCCATTTTCCCAGAATCCCATTTTCCCTGGATCCCATTTTCCCTGGATCCCATTATCCCTGGATTCCATTTTCCCTGGATTTTTTTTCCCTGGATCCCATTTTCCCTGGATCACATTTTCCCAAAATCCCGTTATCCCTGGATCCCGTTATCCCGGGAATATTTTCCCTGGATCCCGTTATCCTGGATCCCTTTATCCCTGGATCCCATTTTCCCCGGATCCATTTTCCCTGGATCCCATTTTCCCAAAATCCCATTTTCCCTGGATCCCATTATCCCGAATCCCGTTATCCTGGATCCCATTTTCCCTGGATCCCCTTTTTCCTGGATGTTTTTTCCCCGGATCCCATTTTCCCTGGATCCCATTTTCCCTGGATCCCATTTTCCCTGGATCCCATTTTCCCTGGATTTTTTTTCCCTCGATCCCGTTATCCCTGGATCCCGTTATCCCGAATCCTGTTTTCTCTGGATCCCATTATCCCAGAATCCCGTTATCCTGGATCCCATTTTCCCAGAATCCTGTTTTCCCTGGATCCCATTTTCCCAGAATCACATTTTCCCAGAATCCCATTTTCCCAGGATCCCGTTATCCCAGAATCCCATTTTCCCCGGATCCCGTTTTCCTGGATCCCATTTTCCCAGAATCCCATTTTCCCTGGATCCCATTTTCCCTGGATCCCATTATCCCTGGATTCCATTTTCCCTGGATTTTTTTTCCCTGGATCCCATTTTCCCTGGATCACATTTTCCCAAAATCCCGTTATCCCTGGATCCCGTTATCCCGGATCCCATTATCCCGGATCCCGTTATCCTGGATCCCGTTATCCTGGATCCCGTTATCCTGGATCCCATTTTCCCTGGATTTTTTTTCCCAAAATCCCGTTATCCCTGGATCCCGTTATCCCGGATCCCGTTATCCCGGATCCCGTTATCCTGGATCCCGTTATCCTGTATCCCGTTATCCCTGGATCCCGTTATTCCGAATCCCATTTTCCCCGGATCCCATTTTCCCTGGATCCCTTTTTCCCTGGATTTTTTTTCCCAGAATCCCATTATCCCGGATCCCATTTTCCCTGGATCCCATTTTCCCTGGATTCCGTTATCCTGGATCCCGTTATCCCTGGATTTTTTTTCCCTGCATCCCGTTATCCTGGATCCCATTTTCCCTGATTCCCATTTTCCCTGGATCCCGTTATCCTGAATCCCGTTATCCTGAATCCCGTTATCCTGGATCCCGTTATCCTGGATCCCATTTTCCCTGGATCCCATTTTCCCTGGATCCTGTTTTCCCAGAATCCCATTTTCCCTGAATCCCATTATCCCGAATTTTTTTTCCCTGGCTCCCATTTTCCCTGGATCCCATTATCCCAGAATCCCATTTTCCCTGGATCCCATTATCCTGTATCCCATTTTCCCCGGATCCATTTTCCCTCGATCCCGTTATCCCTGGATCCCATTTTCCCAGAATCCCATTTTCCCTGGATCCCATTATCCCTGGATCCCATTATCCCAAATCCCGTTATCCCTGGATTCCATTTTTCCAGAATCCATTTTCCCTGGATCCCATTTTCCCCGAATCCCACTATCCCTGGATCCCTTTTTCCCGAATTTTTTTTCCCTCGATTCCATTTTCCCTGGATCCCGTTTTCCCTGGATTTTTTTTCCCTGGATCCCATTTTCCCAGAATCCCGTTATCCTGGATCCCATTTTCCCTGGATCCCGTTATTCCTGGATGCCATTTTCCCCTGATCCCATTTTCCCTGGATTTTTTTCCCCTGGATCCTGTTATCCCTGGATCCCATTATCCCGAATCCCCTTTTCCCCGGATCCCGTTATCCCAGAATCCCGTTATCCCTGGATCCCATTTTCCCAAAATCCCATTTTCCCAAAATCCCATTTTCCCTGGATCCCATTTTCCCTGGATCCCATTTTCCCAGAATCCCATTTTCCCAGAATCCCATTTTCCCTGGATCCCATTTTCCCCGGATCCCATTTTCCCAGAATCCCATTTTCCCCGGATCCCATTTTCCCTGGATTTTTTTTCCATCGATCCCGTTATCCCTGGATCCCATTATCCCTGGATCCCATTATCCCTGGATCCCATTATCCCTGGATCCCGTTATCCTGGATCCCGTTATCCCTGGATCCCATTTTCCCTGGATCCCATTTTCCCCGGATCCCGTTATCCTGGATCCCGTTTTCCCAGAATCCCATTTTCCCCGGATCCATTTTCCCTGGATTTTTTTTCCCTCAATCCCATTTTCCCTGGATCCCATTTTTCCAAAATCCCATTTTCCCTGGATCCCGTTATCCCTGGATTCCGTTATCCCTGGATCCCGTTATCCCGAATCCCATTTTCCCAGAATCCCCTTTTTCCCAGAATCCCATTATCCTGTATCCCATTTTCCCCGGATCCATTTTCC